TAATTTTCATTCTAGTTTTTAGAGCATAGAAACAGGCCCAACTGCTTCCTCCCAGTACTTTTGCTCCACATGCGCCTTCTCCCTCCCTATATTCTCTCACCCTTCAGATCTTCCTATTCCTTTCTTCCTTATCGACTTTTGCAGCTTCCTGTCAAATGCATCCAAACTATTTCATCAACCATTCCCTGTGACAGCAAATTCAATATTCTCATCATTCTCTTGGTGGAGAAGTTTCTCTTAAATTCCTCATTGAATTTATTATTGACTATCTTACATTGATTATTTTGGACTGATTGCTTGGTGGTACAGAAGATAAACATTGTTAAAAGGAGACACCAAGCCTAAGCTTTTCATTTTGCTGCACCAGGACAAGGACACCGTAAACAAAGCTGAAATATGGACACTAGTTAATACAGCATGAGAAGAGATTTTTCGAATTCATTGGCATGTAGATGCAGCAAGAACAGTTAACTGTGTATCTTATTTCTCAGATTAGGCAGGTAAATTCTGATCAGTCATCTACGAGAATGCCACAGAGATTGGGTTTCTCAACGACTCTTTTTAAAATCAATATTGTACTTCTTGTGTCCTTCCTTGCTGTGCATGTGCTGATCCCATCACTGCAAGTTATCACTGCCTTGGATGCTGTAGGTCTTCTGTCAAACACATCCGAGGATACATATCCCACTCTGATGCTGTTAGTTTGAAAGCCTCTGAGGGTGGGGAATGCTATTCCCACACTAGAAATCTCTGTCAAACATTTACCAGGGGAATTGAGACAACAGCTGCAATAAGAGCAAATTCAATATTCTCATCATTCTCTTGGTACAGAAGTTTCTCCTAAATTCGTCATTGAATTTATTATTAACTATCTTACATTGATTAGTTTTGGACTGATTGCTTGGTAGTACAGAAGATAATATTCAGATGGGACAATGACAAGTTTAAATCTCCACCTGATCTGCTGCTCAAAGTCACCTCCATTTCACCGGTCAGTTTCCCAAGCTTCCGGAAACTCATGTTGTTGCAGGAATATTTGGATTGACTGTGAGAGACGTCAATCAGAGAGCCCACCCACTCTGCCTATTCTCTCCTCTTCCTCTTCCAGAGTTGGTTCACTTCCTATAGGGACTGAAAACCAAGTGAGGAGATGGTGAGTGAAGGAGCAGCTCTTATACAAATTGTATCCCATAATATCCACACCAATCTTCAGGCAGTCTGACAATCCTGTGGGCAATCAGGGGTGGAAATGCCCCTACGCTTTGTGAGAAGATCCAGCTGAGAGAGCTGTTTACTCGGTGCTTTGTGCTGAACTGTTTGACTGGAGCTGTGTGTTGGATATTGAGTGTGTTTATTGGAAGCATTTCCCTTCTGATTTCCAGGCTGAGTTTTGTTGATGGCTCATTCCTGAATATGAGAAGGTGAGGTGTGATTATCTGGAGGTGCCCAGTGACTGAGGATTCTTACTGATTTCCTGGTGTTGAGTTTTGTGTGTGTGTTGTGGACTGTCAATTTTTTCTGTGTTGGGATCTCGACGTTGCCTGTCTTCACAAATCCCTCCATCATCGCTCCCACTACACTTCTCCATAATATAGCACAAAAAAGTAGATCAACCGAGTTCAATTAAGACTGTAGAAGGGCATTGCATGCTGAACAACATAAGCAGCAAGTGACAGACACAACTAAGTGACCCCACAACCAATGGGTCAGATCAAAGTTGTTGCCAGCATTTGGCCCATATCCCTCTAAACCCTTCATATTCATATACCCAAGCAGATATCTTTTAAATGTTGCAATTGTATCAGCTTTCACCACTTCCTCTGGCAGCTTGTTCCACACACGTACTACCCTTCGCGTGACCCTTACATCCCTTTTAAATCTTTCCCCCTCACCTTTAACCTATGCCCTCTAGGTTTGGACTCTCCTACCCTCGGGTAAAGATATTGGCTATTTACCCTATGCATGCCTCTCATGATTTTATAAGGGTGCCCCCTCAGCCTCGAACGCTCCAGGGAAAATAGCCGCTATTCAGCCTCTTCCTATAGCTCAAATCCTCCATTCCTGGCAACATCATTGTAAATTTTGACAAGTAAACATTTCACTGAGTGAGGAAGCCTTACAGATATCTCCATCCTTAATAATGGGTGAGGCTAGCACATCAGTGCAAAAGCTAAGGCAAAGCGTTCACAAGAATCTTCAGCCAGAAATGCCAAGTGAATGATCCATCTCAGCCTTCCCATAAGGTCCCTAGCATCACAGATTTCAGTCTTCAGCCAATTCAATCATTTCATGTGAAATGAACAAACATCTCGAGACACTGGAGACTACACCAGTCCGGCAATAGTCCTGAAGACTTTGGCTTCAGAACTTGCTGCACCCCTAACCAAGCTAATCTAGTACAGCTATAACACTGGCATTTTCTCAACAATGTGGAAAATTGCCCAGGTATGTCTTATTCACAAAAAGTAGGACAAATCCAATCCAGTCAACTACTGGCCTTTTAGCCTACTCTCAATCATCAGTAAAGTGACAGAATGTTCATCAACAGTAATCTAACACCATAGCAAATAAGCTGCCATAGCTGGAGACACATTTATTGAATTATCTTTTCATGCCTTCCTTAAAGATTTTACCTGAAGGCCTCAGCATTTCCCAAAAGTGTGGGCTTGGATTTGACCATTTTGTCCAGTGCTGTGGCTAATAACGGTATTTGTGATATGCATTCTGAGTGAGTGCAGTGCATTTAATATCACAGGAAAAACCAGAACCCTCAAATCAGCTACACTTAGCAATATTTTCCTCAACTTGGAGCAATTCCTACTCAGTGTGTATGTGTTAAATAATTTTGGAAAATAAGGAAATTTCAGAATCTCCAATGAATTAATATCTCTCCTGACTTTTTATTAAATACATATCTTAAAACTAAAACTGTTTTTCTACAACACTACATTAGGTTATAGTGAATTAATAACCTATTTTACACTCCACCCTACTGTCTTTTCCATGGTGGCTAGGACAATAGGGGGCTGGGCTGGAAAGAAAGTACTCACATTATCTGCTCCTGGTCAGTATCCAGTGTCCCTGCTGGAAAGAGAGGGTGAGGAAAAAGAAAGGACTTGTATCTGTTTCTCCCCACACAAGAGAATAGCAGACTGGCGCTCACTGTGGAACAGTCTCTGAGGAGTCAGCGCCTTCAGCAAAGGAGGAGAGGGAGTTGGAGGAAATCATGTTTCCTTTTCTTGTTTACAGAAAGATTTGCACTGCACTACACCAGAGAATACAGAGAGGATACACAACGCAGGTAGATCCTGACCATCACCCAAGGAACAACCGCGCGACTGTGGGAAGGCATCCGGTCCGTTCACAGCATTGCTGAACACAGAGAAGGTTGGGCAGTGAAACCATCACCTGGAAATCGGTTGGGTCAGGGGAACTTTGACATACCATCAGATCTGAAACTGATCAGTGGTGTGGAGCCTTCCATCAGAACCAACCTTTCTGAAGGTTCGGCTGTGGGTGATCGGTCAGGGTGAGGCTGGGAAGAAGTGTGAGTGGCTCCAAGTGTGGTGAGAGCTTCCATCATTCATCAAGCCTCATGACCCACTGACTCATTCCTCCAGGTTGGGGGCTGTTCCAGTGTGAGGTGTGTGAGGAGGGCTCCACAGGCTGATACACAGCTTTCATTTGATGTACAAACTGTTAGCAGAAGAACAGCGGCATGGAAGAGAAACAATTCCAGTGTGGGCTATGTGACCAAACATTCACACAGTTAGCGACTCTTGTGCAACACCGAGGCATCCACACTGAGAAGAAACCTTTCAAGTGTGAAATTTGCCACAAAGCATTCTCGTGTTCATCTCACTTTCGCATACACCAGCGTATTCATACGGGGGAGAAACCGTTTGTTTGCAAGGTTTGTGAGAAATCATTCTCACAGTCATCACACCTCCGTGCACACCAGCGCATTCACACAGGGGAGAAACCATTTACGTGTGAGGTGTGTGACAAATCTTTCTCACATTTAACAAACCTCCGTGCACATAAGCGCATTCACACCAGAGAGAATCTGTTTAGATGTGAGATTTGTGACAAATCCTTCACTCAGTTATCAAACCTTCTGGTCCATCAGACCATCCACACAGGGGAGAAGCACTTTAAGTGTGAAGTTTGTGGGAAAGCTTTCGCGACTTCGACGAAGCTCCTGAGACACCAGAGCATTCACACAGGAGAGAAACCTTTCCGCTGTGACATTTGTGAGATGGCTTTCACTCAATCTTCTGATCTGCTGACGCACCAGAGAGTTCACACTGGGGAGAGACCTTTCATGTGTGGGCTGTGTCACAAATCGTTCACGCAGTCATCGACACTTGTACAACACCGACGTACTCACACTGGGGAGAAGCCTTTCAAGTGTGAGAAATGTGACAAATCATTCTCACGCTCATCTCACTTGCGTGCACATCAACGCGTTCATACAGGGGAGAAACCTTTCACATGTAAAACGTGTAACAAATCATTTTCAAGGTCCTCCACCCTCCACGAGCACCAACGCCTTCACACAGGGGAGAAACCATTCATTTGCGGGGTTTGTAATAAGGGCTTTGCACAGTTGTCAGGCTTGTTAAATCACCGACACATTCACACAGTGGAGCGGCCATTTAAACGTGAGCTGTGTGACCAAGCCTTCACACCATCCTCGACGCTCATGACACAGTGATACTTCCACACTGGGGAAAAGCCTTTCAAGTGTGAGTTGTGTGACAGGATTTGATACCCTTCCTGATACACCAGACAATTCACACAGAAGAGAAGTTTAAGTGTGAGATATGAGACTTTCCCTCATACTGTCAGCAACATTTATGAAACACTGTCGTATTCCCAGAGAGGTGAATTCATTTAAAGATGTTTTGCACAAGTATCAAGCATTGTGTACAACCAAGCCATTTACACATGGGGGAAACTACTCAAGCGTACGATCTGTGAGAAAGCATTTCCAACCTTATCGAATATTCCTGGTCCATTAGAGGATTCACACACCATGATGCTACAAGTGTGAAATTTATGAATAAAATTCTGTAGAAATCTTCAAGCCTCCAGAGGCACCATTGAACTCATCAGGAGCAAGGAAGCTTTCACGCAATTGAACAGAGTCAACAGTTTTGTGAAAGCGAAATCATGTTTAACAAATTTTCTCGAGTTCTTTGAGGGTATAACAAGTACAGTTGGTAAAGGGGAACAGGTAGATGTGGTGTATTTGGATTGCCAAAGGCATTCGATAAGGTGCCACATACAAGGTTATTGCACAAGATAGGAGCTCTCGGTTTTGGGGGTAATGTATCAGCATTATTTGAGGTAGTAGGAACTGCAGATGCTGGAG